CCTCCTAACCACTCCCCTGCCAGCCTGATTGATGCCTACTGCTCCCTTGGCAGCCTGTTTGTCCCTAACTGCCCTCCTCTGCAGGCCTGGTCACCCCTAACTGCCCTCTCTTGCAGGTATGGTCCCCCAAACTGCCTCTCTTGCAGGCCTGGGTCCCCCCACAACTGCTGTCCCTTGCAGGCCTGGTCCCTCCTAACTGCCCTCCCCTGCTGGCCATCTTGTGGTGGCTATCTTGTGTCCATATGGGGGCAGGATCTTTGACCACATGGGGGCAGCCATCTTGTCTGTTGGAGTGATGGTCAATCTGCATATTATTCTTTTATTAGATAGGATAGAGGCCTGGTGCATGGGTGGGGGCCAGCTGGTTTGCTTTGAAGGGTGTCCCGGATCAGGATGGGAGTTCCCTTGGGGCATAGGGTGGCCTGGGTGAGGGGTCTGGGGTGGTTTGTAGGCTGGCCACACCCCCTGACAACCCAAGTGGAGGCTCTGGTGTCTAGGATTTACTTATCTTCTGCAATTGACACTTTGTAGCCTGGATTGGAGTCAAGCCCCCTGCTCGCTCTGAGGCCGCAGCCATTTTTGTTGGGATTTATGTTTCTTCTATAATTGAAACTTTGTAGCATTAAGCAGAGGCCAAGGCAGGCCAGGGCTGCAGAAGATTGGCTTTCTCCATCACCAGGGCAACCATATCTTTCTGCTCTCTCCAGCTCCATGGCTGCCGCCATTTTTGTTGAGATTTATTTATCTTCTATAATTGAAACTTTGTAGCTTGGAGTGGAGGCCTGGACCAGTCAGGGTGTGGGGAAAGCTTGGCTTCCTTCATTGCCTGTGAAACCCAAGACTCCCTTCTGCTCTCTCTATAGCTGCAGCCATTTTGGTTTGGTTAATTTGCATGCTTGCTCCTGATTGGCTTGTGGGTGTAATGGAGTGATGGGTGATTTGCATATTACTCTTTTATTAGGGTAATATGCTAATAAGACCAACATCTTCTGAATGTCATTCCAGACAAAGCCATGGTGGTGTAGTCCAAGGCAGAGGTGGTTAGGGGCTGTCAGGGGAGGGCAGTTAGGGGTAATCTGGCTGGCAGGGGAACAGTTAGGGGGTGATCAGTCTGGCAGGGGAACAGTTAGGGGGTGATCAGTCTGGTAGGGGAGCAGTTAGGGGAATGATCAGGCTAGCAGGGAAGCAGTTAGGGAGCGATGAGGCTAATAAGGGAATAGTTAGGGAGTGATCAGGCTGGCAGCGGAGCAATTAGAGGGAATCAGGTTGGCAGGCAGAGGCAGTTAGGGACAATCAGTCAGGCAGGGAAGCTGTTTAGGGTATCAGGCCGGCAGGCAGAGGCAGTTAGGGACAAACAGGCAAGCAGGCAGGTGAACAGTTAGGAGCCAGTGGTCCCATATTGCAAGAGGGATGTCCCCAAACCAGAAGTCGGACATCCCCCAAGGGGTCCCAGATTGGAGAGGGTGCATGCTGGGCTAAAGAACACGCCCCTCCCCCCCCACCCCGACTCCCCTGCCGTGCTCAAATTTTGTGCACCAGGTCACTAGTAGGAAATATAAATCTTCAGGATACTGAACATATGACAACAAAGGATAATGCCCCCTGAAAGTTCAGGTTAGGGGATGCTTGAATTATATAATTGTCTCGGCTGTTACTTTGAGAGAGTTTCCAGGCCATGACTGGTGGGATAGGGCTGTTGGAAAAATCAGGAGGAACCTAATGGATCCACATAGTTGAGAGATAGATGAGAGTCTGTGGAGAATAAAGAGGCAGGAGTTTGGGTAGTTTAGTACCTCAGTGGTGAAAATCTAACAGTGACACTATTCTGGATACCTCATCAATTCAGCACAGCACTAATCAAAGCATGCATTTGAAGAACTACCCTAGACCTTGAAATGAACCATCTATATAAACTAAGTGAAAGAATACAGGAACATACATTGGGCCAGGTGGAGGGCCTTTTCCAATAGCTCTACTGGCAATTTTCATAATTTCTGGGGCAGTGGGTAGAGTATGCAGGAGAATTTTGCCTCCATCTAATATCTTTTAAAAGCAAGAACCAAAAGGATCAAACAAATTCCAGGTAACTTAACTGGGAATTCAAGAATATTATAGGCATATAAATAAATCAAGCATCCAAGAAGGCAAGATTTATAACATTGAGGATATAATAAAACATATCTAATGTGATAAAAAGCAGAAAAAATTTACCCATAAGAAAGAGGGATAATCAATCCATTAAACTACCCTAGAAGTAGCATAGAGAAAACATTAGAATAATCATTGTAACTACCTCATATAGTTGAAAAGGTAGATGAAAGTTCAAATATTCTGGCCTTAGTTACTGATTATGTAAAAAAGACAAAAATCAAGCTTTTAGAGATGTAAGTTTTAACGTCTAAGATGATAAAATAAACTAATTGTTATTAATAGTAGATTAAATATTAAAGAAGAAAAGAATAGTGAACTTAATGCTAAAACAATAAGACTATTTGAAATTAATCACAGAAAGGAAAAAACTTAAGAAAGGAAAGAGAACATCAATAACCATGGGAAAATTCTAGTGGCCATCAAATTTGGTGACTAGAATCTGGGCAGACAGAAGTCAGTAACAGAAATATTTCAAGAAGCAATATCCAGCATTTACCAAATTTTAATTTAAATTATAGACCTATAGTTCTAAGAAACTCAGTAAATGGCCATACAAAAAGGTGAAGCAAACTTTAGTACATTATAAAATAGCTCCAGATTGTTGCAAAGAAAAAAATCTATACAAATGATCAAAAGACACATGAAAAAAAAATGCTGAAAGTCAATAATCATCAGAGAAATGCAAATTAAAATGACAATGAGATATCAACTCACACCTGTCAGAATGGCTAACATAAAAAATCAACAAACAACACCTGCTAGTGAGGATGTGGAGAAAAGAGAACAGTAGTTCACTTATGGTGGGAATACAGATTGGTGTATCCACTATGGAAAACAGTATAGATTTTCCTCAAAAAATTAATAAAGAAACTTCTGGTGATCCTATTTCTTGGAATATATCCTAAAAAGCCAAAACATTAATCAGAAAAAATCTATGCACCTCTGTGTTTATAGCACTGTTATTTACAAAAGCTAAGATTCGGAAACAATCCAAGTGCCTATCAGTAGATGAATGGACAAAAACTCTCCAGGACATTTACACTATGAAACACTATGCAGCTGTATAAAAAAGGGATCTCTAACTCTTTGGGACAGCATGAAAAGACCTGGAAACTATTATGCTAAGTGAAAAAGCTAAGAGAAAGACAAATATCACATGATCTCACTTATTTGTGGAATCTAATGAACAAAATGAATTGATTAACAAATTATATTCAAAGCAGGGAGGCATGGAATAGACTGACATACCTCGATGTGGGGTTGGGATGCCAGCAAGAGAGAAACCAAAGAACTTATATACTTACTAGAGGTCTGGTACACAAAAGTCGTGCACGGGAGGGGGGTGTCCCTCAGCCCAACCTGCACCCTCTCCAATCTGGGACCCCTTGGGGGATGTCTGATGGGATTGGGTCTAAACAGGCAGTTGGACATCCCTTTCACAATCTAGGACTGCTGGCTCTCAACTACTCGCCTGCCTGCTTTGCTGATTGCCCCTAACCACTTCTGCCTGCCAGCCTGATCACCCCCTAACCACTCCCCTGACAGCCTGATTGATGCCTAACTGCTCCCCTGACAGCCTGATTGTCCCCAACTGCCCTCCCCTGAAACCCCAGTCACCCCCAAATGCCCATCCCTTACATATTCCCTCTTTATTAGATAGGGTTTTTTCTTTAGCATATCGGACAGCCCTAGCTGGTTTGGCTCAGAGGATGGAGCATTGGCCTGCAGACTCAAAGGTCCCAGATTTGATTCTGGTCAAGGGCATGTACCTTGGTTGGGGACACATACCCAGTGGGGAGTGTGCAGGAGGAAGTTGATCAATGTTTCTCTCTCATAGATGTTTCTAGCTCTCTATTCCTTTCCCTTCCTCTCTGTAAAAAATTTATATATATATATATATATATTTTTTTTTTTAAGAAACATTTAAAATTCCTCCATATCTGCCTGGCTGGTGTGACTCAATGGTTGAGACCCCGGGCTGCCACCACTGGAAGACTCACACCCTGGCCAGGCTGAGACCCCAGCCCTGGCTGCTGCCGTTGACCTGAAGATCTTGCAGCTTGGTTGAGAGGCCCAGCCAGCCTGAGATCCCAGCCTAAGCTGTCACTGTGGCCAGGGGATTGTGCAGTGGGGGTGTGTGGCCCTGCTGGCCTGAGATCCCAGCCCATGCTGTTGCTGTTGCTGGCTGGGATCGGGCTGGGCACTGGTGCCTCCCAGCCGGACACCCTGGGCTGCAGCCACTGGGCAGGGATCGCTGCATGGGACCAGGCACCTTCCAGCTAGACACCTTGGACTGCTGCCACTGGGCGGACTTGGGGAATCCAGCAGGGCTAAGAGGATCTTGTGTCTATGGACGCCGCCATTTTTGTCGCAGAGTGATGGTTAATTTGCATATTTCTCTGTTATTAGATAGGATATGCATAGCTCATGGACATGGGCAATAGGGTAGGAAAGACTTAAGGATGGGCAGAGGCTGGGAGGATTGTGGGGAGGGAGGGAATTGGAGATATCTGTAATACTTATCAACAATAAGTAATATGTAACAGAAATACAAAAAGCAAAATAAAATTATAAAGCTAATAAGAGAAACAAATGCATATTACATACACTAAATAAAAGGTTGACAGTAAATATCTTATTGGAATTAATGCATTGAGATGACAATAGAATAATCTTTAAAGTCCCGAAAACATAAGATCCAGAGACATCTATATCCAGTAAACCTATCTTCTAAGTAAAATTGAGTTTTCAAGATACCCAAGAGTAACTCAAAAGAAATTGCTAAAAAAAAGTCTTGTGATTGAAATTGGCATAAGTAAGAACTAATGAATAAAATTTCAAATATTTACCTGTGTATAATGGCCACAAACTTTGGTACAAAGTTGACTGGCATAAGTATAAAATGCTCTTTCATTATACCAAAAACGAATAGCTTTTGCTGGTTTAAATTTGTTTAATCCACCTAACCAAATATTTTCTCCCACATATGGAAAAGTTGGATGACAATTATTTACTGTACAGTTGTTGTGTTCGAATTTGCACTGGTTTGCCCATGATTTTGCTGTCTTCGCTAAACCTTCATCCCATGTCTGAAAGACAAAAATAATTTCAATTGCATTGTGCATATTTGTTTGCACTTAAGTTATTCTAATATGGAAATCAGTGAAATTTTAAGTTTTTAACTGTAATAAAATATAGTTTTTCTTTGTCATTTATTACTTTTACCATTAGTCAGTTGTTTTTTTTTAAGTTGTGCTTCAGAAACAGTCTACAATCTGTGGCCATTCATATTTGTAGGTGGTCAAAATGTACAAACTTCAGGTTATAAGGTAAACAAGTTTTAGGCTTTAGAGTACAGTATTGTGGGAATAGTTAACCATTCTTCATTGTATATTTGAAAGTTGTTCAGATATAAAGAATATTAAAAATTCTCATTACAAGAAAAAAAATGTAATTATGAGGTAATGGATCTTAACTTATTTTGGTAATTATTTTGCGATATATACATATATAAAATAATTATCTTTTATATTTTAAACTAATACAATGTTATATATCAATACAAACTTTTAAAAAGTTTGCATGATTTCAGGGCTGATCTGTTAACACATCATGCTCTATCTTCTCTGACATTTATAGAAATTGACATGAGAAAGGGGATGCCTGGTTTTTCAGGATGAGGCAGTAGTGGATGACAGGAGAAACTCCTGTGGAAGTCTTAGCCAACAGTTGTCACTTCTACTTCTGGCCAAGAAGGAGTAACTTTCTGACATGAAACAGTAAAAACAACATATGTGTGTGCAAAAGCAAGACACCTGAAACCAGGCAACAAGGACCATGATTCCTGAAAGGAGGAACCCCGTAAGGTGAGTCCTCTCATGGCCTTACCTACTGCCTTGGGAGAATGTTCAGGCCATGAATGAATACCAGAAAGCACAGACGTGCACAGAGGCAGAGCTCCAAGGAGGCTTGATCAACACACACATATGAAGAACATATGCACCACCAGGGAATGAATCACTCAAAATGACAGGAGAGCCTGTTAACTAATGCTTACACAGCACTGGGAGTATTGCTTCTTCCTGCTAGCGAGATTGGAAAACCTCATAACCTTGGGAATTGTGTAGAGTACTCAGGAGGATCTCTCCTTAATAGAGGGAGATAATTATCCCTACCCTCAGTCACTTTTTTTGTTCTGCCTTACAGATTTTAAACACCAGACTCAAAAGGATCAAAATGCCAAGTAACCTAAGTCCATGCCAGACAAAACTGACAAGAATATTTACAGAAATACAAAAATTACCATCACCCAACAAGCTAAAATGGACAGATTAAGATATCTGATACAAACTTATCTTCATACCAGGACTCTTGATCTATATATATAAAACCCTAAATATGCAAATAGACTGAAAGACAGAACAACTGAACATCCAGTTGCTATGACGTGCACTGACCACTAGGGACACACATGGAACATGGTGGGCATTGGTAGCAGGTGGCAGAGTGTGGAACATGGTGGGCATTGGTCATGGCGGGATGACTGAGCAGATGAGCAGGGCACCAGACCAAGGTAGGACACTGGCCGCTGTCATCAGTGTGAGCCTCTGTTGATTACTAAAAAACTCTTTGCTCCTGGGAGTTGCAATCCCACCTAGCCCTTGTACATATTGCTGGTGCCAGACCTGCATGCACCCGCTGCTGGCCCTGGAGCTACTACTTGCACCTGGTGTTTGTGCTGTCAGAGTGTGCAAGCAGTGGCTGCCAGCCACGATTGCCACTCTGGGCTTCTCCCCCTCCCCCTGCTCCTGAGGGGTGATTGGGGCTGCAGCTACTGCTGGTATTGGCTGACAGTGCTGGCCAAGCTCACACCAGATGCTGGCACTGGTCCCAATAGCTCTAGTGCAAGTGGGTCCAGTGCCATCAGCACCTGGGAGTGCCAGCAGCATGAGCAGGGCTGTCAGCAGAGGAGATCAGGGGCCGCAGTGAGGGGGGCTGGGTGGGTGAGGAGGATGGGCCTAGATCCATCCACCCATGTGCTCACCACAGCCTCAGGGTCCACAGTTCCTTTAAAGATGCACAAATTTATGCATTGGGCCCCTAGTAATACAGTAAAAAAAAAAATTGGGGAGAAAGGCTCTGGATGAATAGCTCAGTTGGTTAGAGCATCATCAAGGTGAACCAAGGTTGAGGACTCTCTGGTCAGGGCACTAATGGGAATCAATCAACTAATGTATGAATAAGTAAATGAATAATATTTGTTTCTCTCTCTATCTCTGCCTCTTACTCTAAAATCAATAAATTAAAAAATTAATACTGAGAAAAATTAATGAGTAGAAATTAAACCAGAAGTAACACATCTATTAAAATTAATAAAGAAAGCAAGAGACAGAAAAAAAGCAAACTTTTACATGAAAAGAGCATCATTGGGCTTTGAGATAACTTCAAGTTTTATAATTAATATGCTTATAATTGGAGTCTTTAGTATTGGACTATACAGTGCCTAAGTAAACTTTTTCTAATTTGCTTAAACCTGCAGATCCAAGAAGCCAAATGAACTCCAGAAAAGTAGAACAATATTACATCATGTTACGTTATAATCAAATTGCTCAAAATCAAGGATAAAAAGATTTCTTTAAAGCAGCCAGAAGAAAAATACTTCTGATAACCATGGGAACAAAGAAAACAATCCAGTATATTTCTCATCACAAACAATGTGCGGGAAGATAGAAGTTGCCAGGGCAACTTAAAATTCTGTGACTAATGATAATATGTACCATAACTTGAGAAATAAACTCACAAACATACTAACTTTATAGGATTAGTTACAACTGACACACAGTAAGACAAAATTAATATCCTTTAAGCAGAAGGAAAATGATACAAGGTGGATATTGATCTGAAGAAAGAAAGAAAGAAAGGAAGAAAGGAAGGAAGGAAGGAAGGAAGGAAGGAAGGAAGGAAGGAAGGAAGGAAGGAAGGAAGAAAGGAAGGAAGGAAGGAAGGAAGGAAGGAAGGAAGGAAGGAAGGAAGGAAGGAAGGAAGGAAGGAAAGAAAGAAGGAAGGAAAGAAGGAAGGAAAACACCAGATAGATTTTTAATGTAAAGTGTTAAAATAACAAAAATGATTGCATGTTTACGATGTTGAATGATATATAAAACAAAGTAAATTCAAAGGAGGTTCATGTTTCTACTTCCTTATTCCTTTCTTCTTCCTCTTCTTCAGATAGCTTTGAAAATTTAAATTAATCTACATTTATCCTTTCATTTGGAAAATATAGCGTAAGTATGTGTTTATATGGAATGTCTGTATATACAGGGATGGGCAAAAGGAGGTTTATAAATAAACAATACAATAATTAAAAAATAAAATGCAAGAATATACTGATTCATGTCTTCACAGCTGTAAACCGTATGTGAATAAACACACATACATAACACTAGCAAGTAACAGCTTTGAGACTTCCTTTCTCTTTCTCTTCTATTACCACCTTGTTGGAGACAGCTCAGTCAAGATATGATTTTTAAAAATGTATTTTATTGAGTTTTTACAAAGAGGAAGAGAGAGAGAGTAAGAAACATCGATAAGAGAGAAACATCTATCAGCTGCCTTCTGCATACTCTCTACTGGGGATGTGCCCTCAACCAAGGTTCATGACCTTGGCTGGAATTGAACTTGGGACCCTTGAGTCTTAGGCTGACAGTCTATTCACTGAGCCAAACTGGTTAGGGCCCAAGGTTTGATTTTTAACTGCATGCTGAAAGTCCAAACTGAATTCATACAAATACGTCAGTAAAATGAATCGCCAAGATCCCTTAGTATAATCTCAGCTCATTGTTTTCTCACCATGTATTTCATGTTGGCCGCGGGGGGCTGGACTGTGCGACGCATTTCATTGTGAGCTTCGACACAGTCCTCTATGAAACTCTTGTCTTCGATAGAAGGCAGGATGGGAGACGACCGACTGGCTATCAAATAGAAACCTAAAGTCCATAAGAAATTTAATTTATTCCCATGAACCATGGCAAAATGCAGAGGAAGCCCTGGCTGTATGCTCTGCACCTGGGCCCAACTTTCTCTGCTGGTTTGAGCTCATAAAGGGTTGCACAGCAAGCTGGGCCCCAAGGGCGGGGCCAGAATGGACAGGACAGGGGTCAGGCAGCAGGAGGAGCTGTCCAGAAAGCCCTGGGCTACAGGGGAAAGCCTTGAGTTGCCCTGGTGCAGGCATTAATCCATCCTGAAGGCACTGTCTGTGGACCTAATCTGGAATCACCGCGAAGGGGTCTGGATTGTAATCTAGATTGCAACATTCAGGGGAGCACTGTATTGTGCAAATGAACCACATGGATTAGATGCCAACAATGAACCAGGCCTGTGCAAAACTCTACATGTTAGATTCATAGACTCAGTTTCTGTGTATTGCTTTTTAATTATTTTAAATAAATTGCAACATCATATTGCTAATTTCCTCAGAGATTGTGAATAAAGATAGCATATACTGAATGATTTAGTGTGATTGTCAATTATTTTGTAAAAGACTTACTTCTTTTTTTTTTCTTTCTTCCTTTCTGCCTGTTTCAGTATGGAAAGAGAATGACTGCCTAGAAAGATAAAAACAGTATAGCCAAGTACTCACTCTGGACAAAATCTCTTCTTCTTGACACTTGCCTTGGAACACACCTGCCTTTTTGGTGATGAGGGAATTTCAGATAAACATGCATTTTGTTGGTATGCTGAAGACTAGGACAGAGTATCTACATTTGATTAGTTATTTTACTAATCCTATATAATAAAGAGGTAATATGTAAATTAACCCTCAAGCCCTTGCACAAGATGGCCACCCCCATGTGGTCAAAGATGGCACCACAAAATGGCCTGCTGGGGAGGTAAATTAGGGGCGACCAGACCTGCGGGAAGGGACGGGAAGTTGGGGATGACCGGGTTGGCAGGACAAGGCACTTGCAGGGAACCAGGTCAGCAGGAGAAGACAGGTGGGGGGAACCAGGCCTGCAGGGAAAGGCAGGTAGGGGCAATCAGGCTGATAGGGGAGGGAAGTTAGTGGCAATCAGGCCAGCAGGGAGGCAGTTAGGTGCCAATCAGGCTGGCAGGGGAGTGATTAGGGGTTGATTAGGGTGGCAGGCAGAAGCAGTTAGGGGGAATCAGACAGGCAGGCAGGTGAGTAGTTGGGAGCCAGCAATCCCAGATTGTGAGAGGGATGTCTGATTGTCTGTTTGGGCCCTATCCTGGTGGGATAGGGTCTAAACGGGCAGTTGGACATCACTCAAGGGGTCCCTGATTGGAGAGTATGAAGGCTGGGCTAAGGGACACATGCCCACCTCATCCATCAATTTGGCATTCAGGGGTGGGGGAGTCCCTCAGCCTGGCGAGTGCCCTCTGCCAGGCCTGCAGGGAAAGCAGTTAGGGACTCCCCCACCCCTGAACGCCAATTTTCATGCACCAGGCCTCTAGTTTATAATAAAATGCTAACATGTAAATTGTTCTCACAGGTAGGTGTTTGACCGACTGAAAGTTAGATGTGCGCTGTCCATCAGGGGTGGTTTGGAACATGTAAGGTTTTGGTGACACAGTAATGGCAGTGGGCAGCAGTGGAGGTGCTGCCGGTCCCGATGGGCCTTGATGAGTGTGGGATCCTGTTAGAATGGTGGAGCAAGTGAGCAGGTGGCACCAGGCCAAGGTGGGTATAAGTGGGGGCCCGAACTTCCCACCAGTCGCCCCACAGACAGTGATTGGCAGTAGGGGTGGGGGGCAGGGCCAGTGAGCGGGGGACACCAAGGTGAGTACTAGTGGGAGCCCTGATCACCCTACCAGCCACCCCACAGATTGGCTCTGATCGCCAGCCAGGTATAGAGACCCTACCCATGCATTAATTTTGTGCACAGGCCTCTAGTTGCAATATAAATGAATGTCATTTGGATGAATGTTTAATACCCATTACATCAGTTATATTATTATTCAATAACTAAAGGCCTATTGCACAAAATTGATGGATGAGGTGGGCATGTGTCCCTTAGCCCAGCCTGCATACTCTCCAATCAGGGACCCCTCGAGTGATGTCCAACTGCCCGTTTAGACCCTATCCCACCAGGATAGGGCCCAAACAGACAATCAGACATCCCTCTCACAATCTGGGATTGCTGGCTCCCAACTACTCACCTGCCTGCCTGTCTGATTCCCCCTAACTGCTTCTGCCTGCCAGCCTAATCACCCCCTAACCACTCCCCTGCCAGCCTGATTGGCACCTAACTGCCTCCCTGCTGGCCTGATTGCCACTAACTTCCTTCCCCTATCAGCCTGATTGCCCCTACCTGCCCTTTTTTACCAGCCTGATCACCCTCAACTACCCTCCCCTGCAGGCCTGGTCCCCCCACAACTGCTCTCCCCTGATGGCCCAGTCACCCCTAACTTCCCTCCCTTTCCAGCCTGGTTGCCCCTAACTGCCCTTCCTTGTGGGCCTGATCACCCTTAACTGCCCTCCTCTGCTGGCCGTCTTGTGGCAGCCATCTTGTGTCCATGTGGGGGCAGTCATCTTTGACCATATGAGAGTGGCCATCTTGTGTGGTCAATTTGCATATTACCTCTTTATTAGACAGGATGACTCAGCACTTTTTCTGAGCTATTAAATGACATTTTTATTATTGCTGTGCTTCAAATAAATATATATTTTTAAAAATACATTTTATTAATTTTATATATATATAAATATTTTAGATAGAGAAGAATGAAGAGGGAGGGAAAAAACATTCTGCATGTCCCCTACTAGCATTTGATCCTGCTGCTGGGGATGGAGTCTCTTGCTGTGGTGATAACACTCAACCAACAGAACCACATTGGCTAAGGTTCAAATAAATATCTTAATTTGATGATTTGATATTAGGCTAATTAACTTAAGTGAGCACATATTTACTAATATTCTAATCCATTAAACTTGCCACACACACACACACACACACACACACACATCCCAAAACTTTGATGCAATTAGTCATTATTTGGTAATAAAAATGCAGAAATTTGTTATAAAATGGATGAAAATACAAGGACCCCAGTGGAAATTCTACTGAGCAATACACATTTCTGTTCAATTATCTGCTAATGGAGAATGTCAATGTGTTATTTTAACATTACATAAATAGTCTATACTGAGCTTTTGATACCCTACTTCCCAAGCCTGACCTTTGCAGAATCTTCCCCATCTCAGTTAATGGCAGTTCTCTCTCTCTCGTTGGTTTGCTTCTTTGTTTGTTTGGTGTGGGTGTTTGTGTGTATGTTTTTTATCTATTGCTCAGGTCTCAAACTTTGGAGGCTTTGGTCTCAAACTTTGGAGGCTTTGGAGGCCTTGACCAGTCCTCACCCTTTTTTTTTTTTTTTTTTTTAATGTATATTTTATTGATTTTTCACAGAGAGGAAGGGAGAGAGCTAGAGAGCTAGAAACGTCGATGAGAGAGAAACATCGACCAGCTGCCCCCTGCACACCCCCTATCGGGGATGTGCCCGCAACCAAGGCATATGCCCCTGACCAGAATCGAACCCAGGACCCTTCAGTCCACAGACCAACGCTCTACCACTGAGCCAAACCGGTTTCGGGCAGTCCTCACCTTTTAAAATGGCAGTTTCTCAAGGGAGAACCAAGATGCTGTTAAAGGTAAACACCCATACTTGCTTCCTTCTAAAACTACATCAAAATGACAACTAAAATGAAGAGCAACCATCACCCAGAACCGCCAGAAAGCTGGCTGAATTGAGGTCCTACAACAAGAGAGGTAAAGAAGAAAGTACAGAGACTGGTAGGAGGAGCAGAACGGGCTGGTCTGTCACCCATGTGTGATGCTTTTTTAATCAGGAGAGAGATCATGTCTGCGGAGGTCACACAGAGGAGAAGGGGTATCTCAGTCCCACATCAGACCCCCATCCCAGGCTTCCAGAGCTTGGAAAAAGAGTTCCTACAAGCAGTAAGAACTACAGGCAATAAAAAACAGTGGGGCGTGGGGCTCAGTGACACAGAGGCGGCTGGAGACCCAGCTACTTCTCTTAAAAGGCCAGCACCATGAACTGAATTTACAGGCTCCCATTTCCTCTGAGCTCCAGTGCCAGGTGGGGATCTGCGTGACCCAGACACATATAGGGAGTGACTGGACTCTCTGGCATCAGAGCAGAAACTTGGGAATGGCTTTCTTTTAGACAGAGGTGCTCCCATTGTTCCTGAGCTGGGACCTCCCTTGTGGGAAGCCCCACATTCCAACGCTGTCACGAGTGTGCACTAAGGAACTTGGGCAGGCGGCTGATGGGCCTTGAGCATTAGCAAGGCTTATGCTAAGCACTGATTGCTCCTGTCGAGATAGTGGTGGCTCGAAGCAATTTACTGACCTGATAGCCTCCAAAGGAGTATTTACTGGAACTTACTGATCTTTACTGATCTTTGAGAATGTCTGTCTGCTACCTATTTGCCTTGCTTTACTGAGGACAAGAAGTTTATCTAAAACTGAATAGGAGCAGAATAAGGCATTAATCAGTGTGTCTCTTCAAGAAAGAAGCTCCACCTGGCCCCCAACCCTTAATAATTCATATTTTTGTCTAGCATTTTCTTTTGTGCATAGGCCCCTCCTTTAGATCCTAAACCTTACTGGTTGCAGGACTGACTGGCAGCCATTTCTGTTTGCTTTATCCTGTTGATTCCCTGAGAACCTGCCCCATCCAATTTACAACCCCACTCCAGCTGTGCTCAATGGATTTTGCATGTGAATGGCTGGTTCTTTCTTAGGCTAAAAACATGTCAAACAAGATGTAGCTGTGTCAGGGAGTCCCAAACCTATCAATAAAAGGCCCAAGACCCAGCAGCACCACCAGCCTGCCTTACTTCACAGCTGAATTTCATCTGGGCACTTCCAAACCTGATACAAAGAGGAGGAATCTGCAGATCTCATTGTAGTTCCTGCTGGATGGTCCCAGCCAGTGGCTGATTTTGAACCTCCCTGGAGACCCAAGCGCCAGTATACATAGTGGTC